GCTTTGCGCTAAAAGTTGTACGGGTTTAGGGTTGTCAGGAGGGCAAAATAAGCTGACTTTTAGGAGGTTAATAAGCTCTCAATGGATCTAGGCTTTCAGGGTTCAGAGCTTACAAGCACAGTACAAAGACCCAAAAAACTTGCGTCCCTCATATACGGTGAGCCGCTCCGCAACGAAGGACGGGCCAATCTATATAAGCTCGCACATGTGACCAATCTGGGATCAGAGTAACCCTCAGCCCTAACCCCGTAACCCGTAAACCCTTAGTTACAAGGTTTATGATGTGGGAGTTTCCGAAAATAGGGGACCCTAATATAGTACCCTAAATAATACCTTATTATAAGAACCCCCACAATAAGGTACCCCTACTTTTCGGAAACTTCAAAAGTTGCCTAAGAAGGGATCAGTGCTCAAGGTCTCAAACGTGCCATGTGCCCACCTGTCGAAGCGAAGACATGTCCTGGGTAAACGTGTCCTTCAAGCGGAGCGCGCTTTGGGGGTTTTAAGGTTTAGGATTTAGGGTTTAGGGCTTAGGGCTCAGGGTTTATAGGGTTTAGGGTTCTGGGTTCAGGGTTTGAGGGCGTCAGGATTTTATATCTGTTAAGCGTTCGAGTTTAGGAGGTTGATGACGGTCACAAACCCCCGAGGTGCCATGTTAACGTTTCACAGCTACCATGTGGACCTGGAAATCGACAAGGCAAGACGAGAGCAAAGAAGGAACGATGCAGGCGAAGAAAAACTAAGGTACAGAACCTGAATCAGGAACTACTATCGGCCGGAAACATGATCGAAACGCACTCTGTGTAGAAAGGACGGGGCGCAGGACCAAGACGTCGCTGGCTGGAAAACATTCTGGAGGCATTTCACACGGTCTCGAGATCTTTCATACGCATTCCCCTAGGCTCCATAAATTGCCATACGGGGCTTTCCGACCTAGAGCCCTAGCGTTCATTTAGAAACAAGAGTGGACGGAACGACCCGGATCCTAAATCTCGGCACTGTAAAGCCCTACGGCTTCACCAAATCCTCAAACCCTGAAGCTTTGACCGTTTAAGCTGTTATGAATACGTGAACGAACAAACAGTTACCTGAATGTAGAAAATAAATTACAATGTCTATCTGTCTATCTGTCCAGCTATGTCTCGCAAGCACCGAATGCCCTTGAGCGCCGCAGCAAAAGCTCCAAAGTCTGTCCTGGCGCTTCGCCATAGCTTCCTCCACCTTCCCCCTCGGGTTCGGCTCTTTACTGTAGCGGCCTTAACAATCAAAATATGGTGTTGAGGGGATCCTTATCATAGTTTTAATATAAGATACCCCCCAAACCCTATTCTAATTATTAAGGCCCCTACATGACTGGGGTTTCAGGTCTTCACGATTGCAGATGTTCACACGCTAATACTATAGAGCTTTACAGTCTATGGTCACGGGGAAAAGGGTAGACGGTAGTGGTCCTGTTTTGCGGCATTTGAGGTTGGGTCCTCTGGTGGTCGGCGGTTGAAGATGCCCTTGCATGTTGCATTGATGCCTGTGAACCCAAGCCTGCATATAAAGACCTTAAGATTGAATCCTAAACCGGGTAAAACCGCTGCAAGGCCCTTGGTCATTAGTGACGCCCTATGAAAAAAAACAACCGTTCCAGAAATCGCAGCACCTCATTACATCCTAAACTCCCTAAGCCCTAATCCCTTAAGCCCTAAAACCTCTGACACAACGCTATAACTCTGTAAGTCCTACGTCCTAAACTCCCTAAACCCTAAACCCTGGTTCCTAAAACCTCCGAAACATCCCCACAACCCTGCAAGACCTGTATACGCCTAAGTCCTAAACCCTCATCCCAGTCCTAAACTCCCTAAATCCGAAATCCCCAAAACCTCCGAAACAGCCCTATGACCCCGTCAGCCCTGTTTTGCCTCAGTCCTAAACCCTGCCTGAGGAAGCCGTCGAGACCAAATCTGCTGCACATGTCCTGCGACCAGCTTGCCGCTTCTTGTCATCGCTTTCCCAAACCCCCAGGAGGATCTACAAAGTAGATCCCCTAACTTGGGGGCCCTATACTACTAAGGGTACTTTATAGGCACCCCCATTGCAGGACCTACTTTTTGGATCATCCCGGCGGTCTGGGTGTGGGGTCCAAGACCGGGTTCCTTTAAAGGTGTCGATAAGGATACCTTTAAGAGTTTCTTGTAAGGGATCTAGAGGGTTTAGGGTTTAGGGTTGATGATATACATCCTGCATTACCAGTATGACCCTAGCCTATGGGAATAATGGTAGAACCTAGAGTCCTAGAGGCTCATACCCTACCCCCATTTGGGGGGTACCAAAGATCCTAACCATAAAACTTGGTACCCTAAAAAGGGGTAGGGCATGAGCCTCTAGGCAGCATATATGGACACTCCAAGTAAGTGTTCCTTTCAGGGTTGCCGTAAGGGTTCGGGGCTTAGGGTTTATCTATTGTCGAGTATCCTGGGGGAGCTGAAAGTTTTGCCTTTGGGATTGCATACCCATAGGCTCTGTAGTAGTTCCTTCTTTGGGATTATCTTATAGGATTCCAAATATGAACCCCAAAAAGGAACTGCCATGGAGCCTATGGGTAGAGATAGGGACTATAGTACCTGCCAAACGGTAAAAGGGCACCTACCCTACTACTGAGTTTCGGCTTTGAGGCCTTTGGGTCTGCTTTCGGGTGCTTCTTGGGATCCTTTCATCGTCAAGGCATCTACACGGCTTCTGGGCTTCATAGGGCTTCTTCCAGTCAAGTATGGCTTTATGGGTTGGGATTTCATAGCGGAAGGCTTTAGGGCTTTGGGGTTGAGGGTTTTATGGTTTAGGGCTTTAGGGTGTATGGCTTTGGGGTCTGGGGTTTAGGGCTTTGGAGTGTAGAAGTGTGGGAGCTTAGGCGCGGGTGACTAGGCAGGGTTAAGCGCTAGCCTGCTGCCTGTTGGTAGAAGTCCCCGTGAAACTCAGCCAAACCATGCGCCCACATGGCCTGGTGCCTGTATAGGAAGCCGAGTTTAACGGTTGATGATATAAATCCTGCATGACCTTAAGGACCCTAAACTATGGGAATTATGGTTTTTCCTTATTATGGGTAATGCAGGATTTATATCATCAACCGAAGTACTTATGATGTTCTACCAAATGCTTACAGCCCACCCTTTTCGCACTCTTAGAGGAACCCTAAAACCTTCAAGGGCCATCTTCTTAAGGGTTCCTTTAAGGGCTCCTCTAAGGGTTCGGCAAAGGGATCCCTAAACCCTAAACCCTAAATCCTAAACCCTAAATCCTAAACCCTAAACCCTAAACCCTAAATCCTTAACCCTAAACCCTAATCCCTAAACCCTAAATCCTAAACCCTAAACCCTAAACCCTAAACCATCCCATCAGGGAACCCTTTTTCCTCAGGCCTGGCTCGAAGTTAAACCCCCTGGCTCGAAGTTTGAGCCCGGCCCGAACAGCCGAACCAAGTCGAGAGCTTGAAAGATAAGGTTCAGGGTTTAGGTTTTAGGCCTTAGTTTAGAGGGTTTAGGGATTATGGGGTTTAGACTTTAGGTTTTAGAGGGTTTAGGGTTTCGGGTTTAGGGTACGGGCATGGATGGGTACAATACTGCCGCAAGGATATGTTATGGTACTCGTAAAGTCGCGGCTATCACGGGACACCCCATGGAATCCCTAATCCTGAACCCTAAACCCTTCCTTAACCCCGAAGAACCTACCGTTTTGGGGTTCCCTATTGTGATTTCCTTATATAAGTCCTTAAAAAGGTAGGTTCTTCAGGGTTAAGGTTTACCCTAAGACATTCGTCTTAGCTGCTCCACCCCCTCTAATTACCCGTGAAGCCCCAAACTGAACCCATAAACCCTGAGAGCTTTTCGTGGCAAACGATCCGCTCGCGCTGCCCGCTTGTTTATTTCAATCTGCCCGTTTCGGGCTTAGAGTTTAGGCAACGTTGAGGGACAGAGGCCAGGCTTGCCGAAGACTTGCAAGCTATATGAGCTACAGTCAAAAGGAATGAATATCGGGGCCTTACAATCAGAATAGGGCCTGTCAGTGCGCATTATACTAATTATATTTAGAATAAGGATCACCCATGCAAACTAGTACTGGTAGTTATTTAAGCCCCTACAGTTCTCATAGACTCCCGAGGCCTGGTGCCTTAGCAGGGTCGGCCGTTGGGGGCCACAGCATGAGTCTTCAACGTCCGATGTCATTCTGTACTAAGGACCTCCTATGTGCTCCCCCAATACGGGATACGCCTCGAATGTTATGTTGAGTGTATCTCACAAGCTGGACATCACAGGAACCTGCAAAACACTGGCAAGAGACTCGACTGGCAATCTGCAGGGTCCATGTCTATCACATGCCATACATGCATGCGCATACATAAAAAAACAACCCAGGTTCCCCTATGAAGCACATAGGCACAGACATGTACACAGATATAGCTATAGACAAAGATACGTTGTAGTTGTACAGACGGAGAGATAAAGGGATGTAGCGGTGGACAGATCGACGGGGAGAGCGAGAGAGACAAAGATATGTGGAGACGGAGACATCTAGCTATGGAGTTATAAGTTATAGATACAGCCACAGACTGTAGACATAAAAATGCAAACAAAAGCATAAAGGAGTGTCGCAAACAACTATACAAGGCTGAACAAGATGACAGGTTTGCCAAAGCTTGAGGTAGGCAGCAACGACCAAGGCGCGCATGTATTCACGAAGCCAAAGCCAACAGTCTTGCATGTGTAAAGGCTTGCCGGGCATCAACCCAAAAAAGTGTGTGTTCTCTCTTCCCGTATAAAGTACTTGCAGTTACTTACATGTATATACATATGTACAACAAGACACATAGGCATGGTGATTAGTTCGCATGTGCAAAAGATTAAAGCAGTTCCGTGCATACTTATACTCAGACATAGAGTGGATGCGGACCAAAGTGGCTGTTTTTGTCTGCACTTACTTGTCTTCCGCACCTGGTCGCCTTGCCTCTGCCGGGGCAGCTATGACTGGAGGAGATTCTCCAAAATCGTCATGTCTCGGGGCAGAGGACGATCACGAATCCACACCTTCAGCACAGCCCTAAAACCACAATCCTAAAGTCCTGGCCCTTGACCAGTAAGAAAAAACACAACCCCCTGCATCCTAAACCCTAGAACCAACGGACCCAAAATCGACAACCCCTGGCCCCAAAACTAAAACATGCTACCTCTGCCCTAAGACCAACAAACCCTGAAGCCCCAAACCCTGGCACAGCTCTGAAGCCACAGAATGGAAGGCAGGCCTGTGAACGTAATTTAACACCGGCCCGAGGTAATTTGAAACAAATGTTTGGGGTTCGGTAAAGCTGGCTTTTCGTGTCCTTAGAGTCTTGGTATAGCCGAAAGAACCTTTAACAAAGAAGTTGCTGTCCCTAGTACTCTAAGTTCATGTGCATCAACGCACATCAGTGGTCGCTCTAGGTCGACACAATACCAAATGCATAGTTCTCTTTCTGGGCTCCCGGCGTTTTGTCGGTGGCGTTACGTAGGTCCCAGAATAAGTAGCAGAGTGTGCTTGGACATCTTCTAGAAATGCTGAACCCCAAATCGGTGATATCTTCCAAAGCGCTTTGACACACATTCGTGTATAGGGTCCCTATAAAAACCCAGCACGTACTGTGAGGGCCTGGGAACCCTGACCCAAGAGAGTTCACCTTTTCAATTATGGTAGGGTTGTGTAAACACCAAAAGGCTAAATGTTACCTACGCAGCTACCAGGTATTTCAGTATCTGAAAGTCCGGCCCAGATAAGGTCTTCTTGGCGCTTCTAGGTGCGATCTTCTCATGCTTTAGGGTTTAGGGGGCTTAGGGTTTAAGGTTGAGGGTTTAGGGATGAAGGTTTAGGGTCGAGGTGTTGTCGCAGTTTTCTTTGCCAGGATTCCGATTCAGCTCTGTCCGAGGCCTGCATCTTCCAACTTAAAGTAAAGAAGGGGCTTAAGTTCAGGGTTCAGGCCTTTAAGGCTTTCGGGGTTAGGGTGTGGGCTTTAGGGTTTAAGATTTCGGGCGTAGGGCTTGGCAAACCTTCGAAAGGACGCACTCTGCAAGAAGAAGCATACAGGAAAAGCGAGGCCCAACAGTCGTAAATCCCAGGAGGGGTTTAGTGTCTAGGGGTTTAGGACTTGTGGGTTTCGGTTGAGGGTTTACGGTTTACGAGCAGTCAAGAGGCGTTCAATGCGATCTTCTCTATGCCGTCCTGCGGGCATTACCCACGGAACATCGTAGCAAGAGCAGCAACCAAAATGGAACCGCCACAGCTTGAACACACTGTTGGCAACGAAATTTGATCCAGACGTAGACTCTGCAGCACTGACATACTCGCTATGCTGTTTGAGCTACTGTCTGCTCTACGAATACACCCGAACGGACTGGGATTCGTTAATCAGGGACCCTATTGGGGGGGCCATAATCTGATCCTACATGGTCCTTCGCGCTAAACCCCGAACCCGAACATCCATCATGAAATCTTGTGCCCGTCTTTGAGATGTGAGGCGGCCCTGCGCAACATGTCTGGCTGTAGCTCATGTAGCTATCCTGATCCTCTTCGAACACTTCTGACTGAACCAGGAAAGAGCACATGGTCTCGTTCTGATAGGAATACTATCGCTTTGTATACCATACGCAGCAACCTGCTGTGTGGGTCCGGATGCTGAAAGGGGGCAGATGCATTCCAACATGGTGGATTGTGACCATCACAATTGCGGCCTTACTAAACCCTAAACCTTAGGGCTCAGGGTTTAGGGTTCACCAAAATGGTAGGTTATGACCCCTTCATTAGAGGGCCTGACCCCCAAAACGGTAGGTTTTTGGATCCCAAGCTAGGGCCAAACTCCACAATTGAGGCCTTACTAAACCCTAAACCTTAGGGCTCAGGGTTTAGGGTTTAGAGCACAGCAAAACCTCAACTTCACAGGAACACCCGGAAACCCCTCCTGGAGCATCGGCATGGCTTCATGAATCCTCGAGAGGCGGTGCTTACATAGGTTTTAGGTTTGAGGGCACAGGGCTTAGGATTGAGGGCTCCTTTCGTTCCTTTGAAGGGGTCCAAGAAGGGGCTCCTTTAAAGGGATCTATGAGAGTTCCTTTAAGGGTTTAGGGTTTAGGGGTTTAGGGATTTAAGTGTTTTAGGGTTGGGGTTCAGGGTTTGGGCTTGAAGGCCTAGAAATTGGGGTTCATGGTTCAGGGTTCAGAGGTTCAGGGTTGAGGGTTTACAGTCAGCTGGGGGTTGTTCAGGGCCCCGTTGAAAATCTTGCAGATGTCGACGGGCCACCTCCAGGCTGATTTCGAATGCCTCGTTTACCCGGAGGGTCAATGTACACTACCATTTTGCAATTAAGCCCCCAAATCCATCATTGGGATGGTCTTTTGGGACCGGATTGCTTCCATAATAGTAGTGCATATGGACCTTCTCGTTTCGGAGTACACCACTTCTTTACAGCCTGTGCAGGGCTTCCGTGCTCTTTCCACTTAGGGTTTAGGTTTCAGGGTTTAATCTAGTTGAAGTAGACGACACTTATCCGACTGACATCCGATACCACTGGAAAACGCCCCCCCGCTGGTGGTGCAAGAAGCACAAAACAACGTACACCGAAAGTACTGCACGATAGAGGATGCTGAACCCAAACGCGAGACATGCCTTATTCCCATACAACCACATTCCGAAGGATTCAAAGTCAAGGTACTTCTGTGGGCAAACACCATCCTAGCAACTCCTGAACACCATAATGCTTGACTTAGTAGCAAGGGTCTGAAGTATGGAAACTACCGCAAATTCTACTTACTGTATGTGCACTCTTAATGTGCACTCTTAATGGTCGTTGATGGTACTTATAAACGCTAGCTAAGGTGCCATTGCCATACACCTAATTTAAGTCTGCAAGGGGTTACTGTATAGGTACATCAGGGCCAGTGCATACACTAATTACAAAACCAGTACATGGACCCTTAGGGCTACACAGACAGAGGCCGTCTCGAACAGCATACCGAGCCAAGCTGTGTAGGAATTTGTACATCCTGAACCAAAAAAATCCTAAAGCCCTGCCCCGAACACTTGACTATACTGAACTTAGAACCCTAGCAAAATTATAACTTTAGCTGTTTCTTAGGGATTATACTAACCAAAAACTAAAAAAACATTTCTAAGTACCCCTAAGTTGAAACCCTAAACCCTGAAACTTGCACCTTAGAGCCACAAACCTCGAGCCCGAAACCCTGAGCTCTTAATGGAGTTTAGGGGAAACCTCAAGGACATGAAGCAGCGCTGAAGGCAAACTACCTTGAAGGACGCTCGACGTCGGCCATATATCTTGCACCGATAATGCCTCATTGGACTCTTGGTTGTGAACAATCTGATCTTTAGACCCTTCGAATAAGCCTACTGTAATTAAGGTTCATGTGATCGTTGAAGCGAGGTGCATTTCTGGCAAAGGCGTGCCGTCTGCGCCAACATTGGGCCACAACAGCCTGAAGTGAGGGTTGAAGCATATTCAGGCTATCCAACGCGATCTATTTTGTTTCCCGTTTGACATACCCGAAGCCGTAAACCTTACATCACGAAAAAGCTACGACGCAAAACCCAAAGTTCCTTAAACTCCAAAACCCGAAAAATTCCGTAGGCCAATAGCTCTTACTTACATTTACCAAACCTGCGAGCCCTAAAAGCCCTAAGACTCTGAAGCAAACCGGCACACCAGTCGTGCAAGACACAAAAACAAACACTCTCGCACAAACCCCAAGACAGACAACCGGACGAAACTAGAAATACACCACAAGGAAATCGACCCACAAGGTCCATATACACTACTGCTACGGAAATGGGTCCCAAAAGACCATCCGTGGTATCGTGTTAAAAGACCATCTTTGATATGCTTTTGACCACCTAATTCCATACATAGTAGTATATATGGACCCTCTAAGACACTAGGCAAGAGTTCCTTTCACGTACCATGAAGGCTTTAATAATTAGAACAGGGTCTCGGTGCCCATCAGACCGTAATTATATTACGGAACTCCCAAAATAGTATAGTTTACTTATTTAGACCCCTATAGTCCCAAACCCTAAACCCTATAAGGGTTTAGGGTTTTCAGTTTAGGGCGGCTATAAGCATTATATGTCCAAGCAGCACGGTGCCCTTCTTCGGCGTCACCGCGAAGCCGAGGGCTGGGAAATCAGTCTCTCCACCAACACCTCCCAGAGTGAACCACTTATTTAGGGTTTAGGCTTTAGGGCTCAGGGAAAGTAGGGTTTAGGGTTTAGGGTTCAAGGGATTTAGGGTTTAGGGCTCAGTGAAATTTAGGGTTTAGGGTTCCGGAAAATTTAAGGTTTAGGGAAATTTAGGGTTTAGGGCTTAGGGAAGTTTAGGGATTAGGGAAGTCTAGGCTCAGAAAAAGCCACAGGGTTCCCGGTTTAGGGCTAACCCTTAACCCTGAATACTTAAAGGATCCTGGGACTTAGTAACTAGGATTATAACTAGGGTAGCTATACTTATAACCCCAATTAGGGTACACTTTACTTACTAAGTCCCATGATCCTCCGAGTAACCTACCTGTTGAGGGCTCCTGACAAATGATTTCCTTATAAAAGTCCCCCGAAAGCTGTGTTATTCGAGGTTAAGGTAGGGTGTTTAGGGGTTACAAAACAGTAACCCACTAGAACCCCAAAGGGTGCCAAGTACCTGTTATAGAATGTCGGGATTCACCATGGTGATTTGGCAAAGTTTCCCCCCATAACAGTGCCTAGGTCCCTTTGGGAGATGGTGATCCCCAACCCCAAAACCCTGGACTCTACACCCTAATCCCTGTACGAAACCTGAAACCCTACACACGAAACTCACAGCCCTCAAGCCTAAAGCCCTAAATCCTGAACCCTAAACTCTCAACCCTAGACCCTAAACCGCAAGTCCTCAATCCTAAGCGTAAACTGGCATCTCATATGCCATACCCTATACGGGCATGAGAATGATGATCTTCCAATGTTCGGGCATCTACCTTAATGTCACTGTCCCTCCAGGATTCCCCAAGGGGCCTTTAACAGAGCCATACCGGTCAGCAGGTAATTCTTTGGGGCATATTTGAGGGTAGTTGGGGGGTCCAGGCAGTAAGAAGGCAAGTAAGCACAACAGTCCCTGTATGAGCCAGCGAGAGAGCGAGGTATGTCTGCATACATGTATAGCCTAGTCATCAAGTCATCTCCCCCTGGTGGTCAGGATCGTCCTGGAAGGAAGTGTAATCTAGGGGCCTGAATAAATAGAATAGGGCTTTGGGGTGAATCGGACATGCGTCTGAGGCGAACAAAGCTGAAGATGTCTATTGCATCCTTGGAAAGCGTAGCTGCTTATGAGCTACCACAAGCTAAGCTAGTTTGTTCAGTATGCCTTCAATGTCTCGCAACATGGAATCATATTTTAATGACCAGTTGTCGAGCATCTGATGGCTTTGGGGTAATTATGTGAAACCGTAATTGTAGTAAGGAACCCCCACCTTAGTATAGGTAATTATGAAGGCGCCTGAGGTATTCCCAAAACCCCCCTGGCTGAAAAAAGCTCCTGCCAACTACTCCCATGTGGAGCACGGGCGATGTCGTTGGGACCATAAACCCTAAACCCTAAACACTAAATCCTAAACCCTAAACCCTAAACCCTAAATCCTAAACCCTAAACCCTAAACCCTAAATCCTAAACCCTAAACCCTAAACCCTCAAGTCCCCATAAATTGAGCTTGCGTATTACACCGTGCATGGTATTCCATTACATTCTTTTCAAGTTGAAGCAAATACACTTAACATCATATCCTTAGATATGCATAGCCGTTTGCACAAGTTATTGCAATCGAGTTTAAGTAAATTGAATTGATTATTCCGCCACCACCACCACCAATATGCAATCGAGTTTAAGTAAATTGCACCAGCCCGCTGGCTCAGAATGGCCTAGGGACCTAGTCATAGTCAGAATCCTTTCGTTTTGCCGGGGTTGTAACATCCTCTGGTCTCGGCTCGCCACCCGAGTGAGCGAAATCGTAGGACGACCTTGGTTGAAGATTGTTGAGACAAGGGGAAGCTCAGGACAAAAAGCGCAAACTCCATGGTGACATCTGCCCGTCCGCCGACGGTGGAGAGTCGGAACCCAACAGGATCCCAAGACGATCACAACGGAAGGCCAACGTGAAACAAGACAGCTGCCGAGATCCCAACAGAATTGGTGCGCACGATCTTTGTACAAGTAATGCAGCCGTCTATTTGAAGTGTCCCTCTAAAATAGATCGGCCTGCAGCGCACTGACACTTGACTGGTCCTGCACTGCACCACAGTCACCAACAGACCTTCCCGCAACCCCAAAACCCTGAAAAAAAAAACCGTGCTGCAGAAGCAACAAGGGGCAAGAAGGTTGACAACCGTTAGTTTACAGTCAATGAGCACAAACGCTCCAAACCCACGTGAACCGAGAACGAAAAAACAAGCTGTCACGGGCAGGCAGACTACAAGGCTAGCAAGTCCCAAAGATCACAACGCCCCGAACCCAAGGGTAGAAGACATAAAGATCTCAAAGACCTGAACCTCAAACCCGAAACCAGCAGACAAAGTCCCCGACAAGCGAAGCAGTGGCGACCTGAGCAGGAGGGAAGAAACGAGCCAAGGTGCAGGACACAGCCAGGCGGCAAAGGCATGCGAGAAGAAGCACGGCAGCGGGGCACTCTATTTTCAAGGCGACCGCAAAAGAAAGATTGCGAAAGACACATGCATGCCCCTTCGCCTATTTCCTGTACAAACGAATGGTCACAAAAAGGTGTCCTGCAAGGGGCCAAGGTGATGCATGCGCATCGACACGTGGCTTTGCTTTATCGTGCAAACGAGTGACAACAACGAAGCTCCACAACATGTCAACTGAGGCTCCGACCATATTACCCAAATATTTGAAGGACATACCATTTATGGTTGCTCGCCTGCCCGCACAAATCTGTGCTGTATTGTACCATGGCAGAAACACAATATGCGCCAAGTCTCTTTCTTCCACATATCCGACCATAACGATCGCAAAGTAGAACCTGGCAAAGGAAATTGACGGTGAGAAACCCGAGATGAATCCGAGCGTTGCAAAGCCTTTTGCGCTGATTTTACATCAAAATCGAGTAGGCCAAGGACGTGGTATATTCGCCTAGAAACAAAATGGACGCACGACCTTTGTCCTGCATGGCACGGTCGCAAGCGCTTAGCACTGCATCCCGTACATCCACCGATCCAGCCGCGTCCATGTTGGACAGCACGTCCAACTCACAGGGACCACATAACCTTTGAAGGTGAAAGGGATGCGATGCCAGCGGCTCATAGGCCAGCAGCCCGTCGTCACTTGCTAGATGCATCATCGGGTTCACGGCCGTGCCCAAATGGTGATGGCTGCTGAGAGGACATAAGATCAAACTCGACGGGTAATGTTTGGCCAGCCAACGAAAAGCTTCTAGCTTCCACTCACAGTTATGCATGCCCGATTCTTGCTTGATCTGGTTAGTGGGGTTTTGGTCCGCCAAGACATTGATGTGAGGGCTGCCCCACAAAATCACAGTCGGTGCGCAACCATGACAATGCGTCTCCACCAAGTCCGAAGCGGTGGCGTCCACCCCATCGATGATGTGCAAATGTTTGTAGCACTTTTGCATACGCCCCGTCAAAAGCTTTTGCATGCTACAGCATCACCTTTCTTTGGAAAACAGAAGTCCGTCACGTAGATATCTACATCGTGTAGAGATGTGAGGGGCAAAGGCAGATCGAGCTTTGACAGCACATGGAGATGGTGGTACAGCACAGCTTTACTTGGACCTTTGTAGCATTCGTCGCAAGTCCACTGTGGCGGTGTTGTTCTCTTTGTCCATTCTGGGTCTGCATGCTGGTATCCACACAACTCCGGCACCAACAACCGAGACGCCACCCGTTGACACACACCACATTGCGGGGTGCGAGGCGGGTACATCACCATCTTCACGTGGGTGGATGGACCTTCTGCTCTTCCCAGCAACCAGAACAGTAGAATCCGCCATCGGTTGATCGAGCCGACAAAGCGTACAGCTGGACGTGGCAACGGTTGCACGCGAAGCATGTGCTATTGCCAAGCTTCCTCTCTTGCCTCCTTCTCGCCCACCAGACCACTGCACTTATGATTGCAAAGATGAGAGGCCGTGCAAACCATCGTCGAATCGCCATCACGTAAAAATCACTGAGGTCGTTACAAAGCTGTGGCCCAGAAAAGGCTGCAAACCGGTGCTAGTGACGATTGTGGGATACACTACAGACAGGTCTCACACACAACAGTACGACATTAAGTTAAGCCCTGCCTCGAAGTCATCGTGGATCGCTTCTTCACGGTCTAGTACCTGCGAACATCACTTGCGACAAGTCTCAAGCGACAGCTTCACAAATGAGTCAAAATCCTTCATTGATGGGCCTGCAAAACGCAAAGATAAGAACACTAAGTGCTTAGAGCCAACATTCAGCACAGAGATATTGCAAATGTAATGCGGAACATATATTGACACCGACGCAAAACACAACAAGCGCCATAACAAGTTTTTAAAGCTCTTTGTTCGTACTGCTGACAAAAATCACATGTAAGGATGCCAGAAACGGACGTGCCCACTTGCTGCGGTGAGCCGATAAGCTTTGTACTCTTCGGTCACTGGCAGGTACAAACCGCTCACTCGCCCTGGAAATTGCCAAGAGCGTCCGTGTAAAAGCTTGATCACCTCAGACAACACTTTTTTTGTCAAGTTAATCTCAAATGTTTGGAGTCCCAGACCGTCTCGCCAGCTTGGTTGGTGATGATCTGACAGCCTCCCACGAATGTGAGCAAACAGCTGTGAAGGCAAACACTGGTCTGCGGGCGTTTAAGTAAATTGCACCAAATATACAAACACCAATACTAATACGAGATTTAGGGTCTAGAATATTGAGCTTCGGGTAACGTTTATGGTTTAAGCCCGAATCTAGGTTCGTCCGGCCAGTTAGCACGCGATGAGAGCAATGACTCTTGTGCAAAAACCATGCATCCGTGGATGCAAAGGCCTCTGCAAACATGAGATCAAGCTTTGAAAGCGACTTGAAGACTTGGCAATTCGATGATGATTCCAGGGATTGGGCTCCGAACCTTGTAATCTGTCAAAGCTTCGGCCCTAACGAACCCCCACTGCTTGGACTCGTGCCGC